CTTCAACCATGTCAGTTGTGGTGCTTTAAATTGTATCGTGTCTTCCTTCAACCATGTCAGTTGTGGTGCTTTAAATTGTATCTTGTCTTCTTTCAACAGTATCAGTTGTGGTGCTTTAAATTGTGTCGTCTCTTCGTTCAACCATGTCAGTTGTGGTGCTTTAAATTGTGTCGTCCCTTCTTTCAACCATGTCAGTTTTGGTGCTTTAAATTGTATAGTCTCTTCGTTCAACCATGTCAGTTGTGGTGCTTTAAATTGTATAGTCTCTTCTTTCAACCATGTCAGTTGTGGTGCTTTAAATTGTATAGTCTCTTCGTTCAACCATGTCAGTTGTGGTGCTTTAAATTGTATCTTGTCTTCTTTCAACCATGTCAGTTGTGGTGCTTTAAATTGTGTCGTCCCTTCTTTCAACCATGTCAGTTGTGGTGCTTTAAATTGTATCTTGTCTTCTTTCAACCATGTCAGTTGTGGTCTTTAAATTGTATAGTCTCTTCTTTCAACCATATCAGTTGTGGTGTTTTAAATTGTATAGTCTCTTCTTTCAACCATGTCAGTTGTGGTGCTTTTATAGCGAGTAGAAAACTGTTAATTTATACAACCATTTCTAATATACAACCATTTATACAACCATTTGTGAAGCGCTCCGGTGTAATAATAATCAGTTTCCATTAAGCTTATTAACAGTAAAGTTTTAAAACTCCACCAGGCCTTGTTAAGAGTAAGGTTTTTAAACTGATATCAATGAAATTTCTAAATGAAAGAATAAGAACAATTACAGTACATTTTAACGTTGGGTAATCTTATATCTACGTTCACAAGTGAGGGTCAAAGTGTGCAAGCCATGACCCTTTACCTGATGTCATTCAACATGGTATTATATATATATATATATGTGTGTGATGTCAGAGTTATCAACTATTCATGTTAGCAACAATTAGTGGTAGAGAAGAGAAAATAAAATATACAGATATACTTTTTGGAGATCCTAGTGGTTATTCAAATAAAATGTGCAAACTGTAATGTGGGCGATAATATTTTCTATTTTCACATGAATATTACCTTGCAATCCCCGATTTGTCAGAGCTTGAATCACACTGGTGTCACCAATTCACAGACATACCTTGAGTGCATAAACTTTTGTAACAAATCTGACTTTATGTGTACAACAAACTTATACATTTTACTAAAAGCCATGTTTTGTGTAACTAGACGTAGTCCATTCTGTTAACAATCCTTCTCCAGTATGGGGTCGGTTCGATAGACATGTGGTTCAAGACTAGTCACTCATATTAACTGCTAAAAATCTTGTTACTAGGACGTCCAAATGGCCTCAGTTTTCACTAACCAAATGTTTACATTTATGTGATAATTGAAACAGAAAATGTTCTAGAAATTATGACAGAATAGATAATCAATCAATAACCTTGTAATTTCTTTTAAGCCAAGAAAACCTTCATATGAAATGTGTATAACTGGGAGTATGCCAGCTCCTCCTCGTTTTCTCTCACACGTAGATGTGCAACTGTATGTGTGCCTTCCATGTGAACGTGTTTATACTCTACTCAAAGTCTGTAAATTTCAAGTGTTACCTCTCTCTGGACGACTTCCTAATCTACATCTTCTCACTGTCTGGATGACTTTCTAATCTACATCTTCTCACTGTCTGGACGACTTCCTAATCTACATCTCCTCACTGTCTGGACGATTTCCTAATGTACATCTTCTCACTGTCTGAATTACTTCCTATTCTGCATCTTATTACTGTCTGAATTACTTCTTATTCTGCAACTTCTCTCCGGCCGAATTACTTTCTAATATGCATCTTTTTACTGGCTGAATTACTTCCTATTTTGCATCTTCTCACTGGCTGAATGACTTACTATACTACATCTTCTCAATGGCTGAATTACTTCCTAATATACATCTTCTCACTGGCTGAACTACTTCCTATTCTGCATCTTCTCACTGGCTGAATGACTTTCTATTCTGCATCTTCTACCTGTTTGAATTACTTCCTGTCCTACATCTTCTCACTGGCTGAATGACTTCCTCATCTGAATCTTCTCACTGGCTGAATTACTTTCTATTCAGCATCTTCTACCTGGTTGAATTACTTCCTGTCCTACATCTTCTCACTGGCTGAGTGACTTCCTCATCTGAATCTTCTCACTGGCTGAATGACTTCCTAATCTGGGTCTCCTCACTGGCTGAATTACGTCCTCATCTCCATCTCCTCACTCACTGAATATGTGCTTTCACATTTAATTGGGTTTTAACGAGATGTAAATGTTTTCGTTTTTTATATATGTTTACAGAATCAATTTGCGATTCATTAAGAGCTCCAACAAATGGAATTATATCGGGGTTCTGTTCGTCTGCTGTGAGAGGAGACCGATGTACCTTCTCCTGTGAAAAAAGCTATAAGTTAGTAGGAGATTCGGAGTTGATCTGTTTAGATTCTGGAAAATGGTCCAAAGAAAGTCCGTCTTGTGAACGTAAGTAATTCAAAAGAAAATTAAACTTTATTGTGAATCTGTTTGTATATACACAAAGTATGATCACCAAAGTATTTATAAACTTCAGGTATTGGTGATTAAACGAAGTTCCTTTATTCGCATTCACGCTTAAGTATTTCTTTATGTTATCAAATTCTATATATGTGGGATTCTCAATGAGTATAAATGTATAATATGCGTTTTGTAGTTGAACTGATTGTTTATCAAACACATAAAACAAATGTTCTATGAAACATTTGATTTCAGGGTCTCGTTCAAACTGTGAAGAGATAAAACCGCCTGCAAATGGTCGAATGTACGGATATTGTTCCAGTGCTTATCCTGGAGATACTTGCATGTTTTCTTGTGAAGCAGATTTCCAGGTGCGTGGGCTAGAAACGTTGACTTGTTTGGAACCAGGAGTTTGGTCTGGAAATGTTCCAATCTGTGAAAGTAAGTACAGATTATTAACGTGTGTCTGGTTGATTTATTGACTATCAAGACGTGTCTGGTTGATTTATTAAATATCGTCAAGACGTGTCTGGTTGATTTATTGACTATTGTCAAGATTGTCTGGTTGATTTATTGACTATTGTCAAGATGTGTCTGGTTGATTTATTGACTATTGTCAAGATGTGTCTGGTTGATTTATTGACAATTGTCAAGATGCGTCTGGTTGATTTATTGACTATTGTCAAGATGCGTCTGGTTGATTTATTGACTATTGTCAAGATGCGTCTGGTTGATTTATTGACAATTGTCAAGATGTGTTTGGTTAATTTATTGACAATTGTCAAGATGTGTTTGGTTGATTTATTAAATATCGTCAAGATGTGTCTGGTTGATTTATTGACAATTGTCAAGATGTGTTTGGTTGATTTATTGACTATTGTCAAGATGTGTTTGGTTGATTTATTGACTATTGTCAAGATGTGTTTGGTTGATTTATTGACTATTGTCAAGATGTGTCTGGTTGATTT